AAACATTTAACTTGGTTATTATAATCTTGACAGAACCACCAAAACTTGTAAAGAATGAGAAAAGATATGGCAGAAAATCCAAGCCTGATAACTCATATTCTGAAGACTTATTCTCTGGCGATGATGAAAGTCTTGTTAGCAGTCGACCTGAGAGTCGTACAAATACCACAGTTATGACAAATGGTATTAGTGATGTCAGTCATGATGAGGAAACACATACCAAGGTTAGTTGTATGGCCATTATTGAATTGCCATGGTGATGACTACATGTTGTCATGGTAATAATATGTTATCCATTGCCATGGTGATGACTACATGTTGTCATGGTAATGATATGTTATCCATTTCCATGGTGATGACTGCTTGTTGTCATGGTAATATGTTATCCATTGCCATGGTGATAATGATGCATAGTGACAATGATATCAATATTCATGGTTATTTCTAGTGGTAGTTGTTATTAGTAAATATTTGAAGAAATGATAAAACAATAAAATTTTCTTCTTTATTAGGAAAGAGGGAAAGTGAACAGAAAATTGTCAAGTAGAAAAAGCAGTTTGAGAAACAGTATCCGCAGACATAACTCAATAAGATGGCAGAAGAAACCMAGTATAGACAGAACCACATCACATGAAGAGATAGAAATCCTKGAAGCAAGTGGAGAAATGAGATCAACTCAAAGTCCTGTTAATATGAACTCAGGTACCAGTTTGTGTAGGCTCTTTATATTGTGCATTGCTTTACCAGCAGCTTGTGTCACAAAGGCATGACAACAGCAAGTTGCTGAGACCTTTATGAACCTTTTATGCTGGGAAATTTTCTCAGTAGAGGCAAACAAGCTGCTGAGGAAATTGTTCCAGTAGTAAAGGGGTTGTTGTTGAATATTTTCTAGAAATCTTGCTAGAGGAGATTTTTGGCTGTGCACTTATGTTTCATTCAYTGAGAAAAGCAAACATGAGTTCTACAAATGCGTATTAAGCTCACAATAAAAAATGCCTGACAACTCCTGCTGCACTGCAATATTTTTATACTGTTTAGCTTAGAGTGTGAATAAGTGTTGAGTGGTTTAGTAAGGAGGTGCATGGTTTTTCAATGTGTCATTAAATGTTGTTCATTAGTCATGTTATTATTGGTAAAAAAAGAAACTTAGTGTCTCAATAGATGTACTTTTTGGTGTATTTTAAAGGATATGCATCACCAGAGCCGTCAGAGGAAGAGCAGCTCAGAGCAATATGGAATGAGGTACATGTTGGCGCTAATGGCTTTCTTGACCGTCATGAACTAGCACTYGTKTGTGAACACATTGGAATGGATTCTATGAATGATCAGGTAAAGGAACAGCCTCTGTTTTCCTTCCATCTCTTCTTTCTTTCATATTTTCTTTCCATCCTTTCATTAAGGACTTTCTAATTTGTTTTTAATCTTTTCTTCTTTTAATCTTCTATCTATTTTTAACTTCATTTATATTTCTCATTTTTTCTCTTCCTGTTCTTTGCTTTTCTTATCCTTCTATTCATTCATATTGTATCTYCCTTTTCTTTACAAAATGTGAGTAATATTTTAATCAGGCAGCCCTTTGATTTACAGGAAATAACACTRCTTTTTGAAGAGCTTGATGAAGACAATGATGGTAAAGTAAGCTTTGATGAGTTTTTGAATGGACTGTTTGCTGCTAAAGATCATTACAATAGTCAAGAGATSATAGAAGAAGAAATCATTGATTTTCAACAATCTACACCTTACTCAAAATCACCTGTAAGTGGACTACCCTCACCTGGAAGACGTAAGGTAAAAAGACTTAGCATAATAAGTTTTATTGAGGCATTATAAGGTCAGGTATCATCTTGCCATTGAAGCTAATCTCCACACGCATCCATTTGTCCACAGTAAAGCTCCACTGTAAAATACCATTTTTTAAATGGTTTAAATTTTTTAAATTTTTTAAAAACTAAATTGATGATGTTTGATAAATTGTATGTTAATCTACTTCACAGAATTCACAGATTTCAAGAATAGATGATTTATTTTTATCAAGAACTGGTGCCTCATCTAGCTTTGGTGAGTGAATTACTCTGCAATCTTAACAATTATTAAAAATATCTTTTTTTTATTATTTGGATTATTGAGTGCACTCACTCATACATTGTATCATTGTTRCTAAAAATGTACTTTCTTTGCAGATCTGCTGACAATTTTGGACCCAGAAAATACAGGGTGAGTTAATGTCGTTTATGCTTTAAGTATAATAGGGACCACAATCTTCATTAATTTTATCATATTGATAGGTTTGCAAAGGTTGAAGATATWAGAGATTTATGGTCAGCACAAGGACTAGATGATGCTGTTGAAGTACTTAAGGTAAGAGAGACCACATATTTTATACTATTCATTCAATATTATATTTTCTTACAATTTACTTGCTTTCACTTTATTCTTTTACCTTGTTTTTCCCTTCTCTAATTTTCTACCCCTTCCTTCCATCCTTTTATTCGTTCTTTCCTTCCTTTCTTCTGGTCTTTCTTTCTTGTCTTCCTCGTCACTTCCTTTCTTTTTCTCCGTTTTGTTACTTTCCTCTCGCCTTCTCCTTTATTCTTCCTTCCTTTTTTTTCTTTCCTTACATCCTTTTCTTTTTCTTCCTTCCCTTCGCTCTTCTTTTCCTTCTTCATCATTTGCTTCTATCCTTCTCCTTTCAGCCCTTTTCTTTTTCTTGTCTATTTGTCGTTTTCTCTTTTTGCCATTCCGTTCATTCGGGTATAGTTTTTGCGTATCGACACCACAGCAACACGCAGTCATATTTCTCAAGTATGATCGATATTTTTGATATCACAGCACATGGATGTGGATGCTGATGGTAGAGTCAGTTTAAATCAACTTACGAGCTTATTGGAAAATGTTATTCACGAGCAAAGCGATGGTAAGTCAAAGAATTGACGTTATTCAAGGGTCGGCTGTACAGATAAAGTTATACGTAAATTTTAGTTTATTTTAAAGTTCAGTTACTGTATGAGTGAAACGCTGACTTCGACCTTAAGTAGCAGTTTTAAACTATGAAAAAGTATTTGTTATGTCCGTTTAATCTTTAACACAACCCTCGATTATCATTGTATTAATGTCGCTATTTTTTTAAATTTATTTTCAGGACTATCAAACGCTGTGGTTGGTATTTACAAACATGAAGTTGTTTTCCTAAGGTGTGTAATTGTGGCTTGTTGTTGTTGTTTTTCTTATATCCCACATGACAATCCCACATTATAAACATGGCAAATTTTCAGCTCTTTACGTCACACATCATCAGCCAATCACATTATGCGCATTTGTGGCTTGATATTTTGCGGCCGCGCAAAAGCGACTATAGTTTCCCGCTCTTTTTTGAAGCTCCTGATTATATAAATTTAATGTTTATAAACTTAATATACGTTTTTATGCTTAATATACGCAGCAAGACGCCGCGTACATTGATCATCAACTGATAATTAGCTACTAAAATGATTTTCGTGCCAACTTTAAGTAAGCATTTGGGAACACTGACACTACAGTGGCTTATTTGAGAGCTAGCCAATCAGAACACAACTTWGTTGTTGTTTTGGCAGGTGACATGTTACAGGTGTCAGCTCAAGTTTTGCACGATATCGCCGGCTTCCGCAATTTCGCGAAGTTCAACTTTTTTAATAAACAAATATGCAAATAAACTGCTTTACTCTATAGTATAAATTTTCTTTGCATTTGATTATTTAAGAATGTAGTCCGAGCTGAAAATGTTGAGTTTGTAATTTTGAAACTGGACTGTGTTAGGTGTGAAAGGTAGAATTAAGAAGAGATTATGATCGTTGATAATCCGCCATATTTTATCTGCATATACTGACTCATAAAAATGAAACATTGCAGCATTTCTGCTTCGTTTTGTAAAATACTTACAACCGTTTCTATAAATATGCCGCTAGTTAACATTTCTAACATCTCTGGAAGTAAATCCGAAATGCAAAGTCGATGTTCAAAGTTTGTTTGCAAATAAAAGTGTCTTTACTTTGCTATAGTCCGAAAACTGAATTAAAAGCTAAAAACATTCAGTWATTTACCCAAACGCAACGTCTTTCAACACTTTCAGGTCTTGTTTATATAGAGGTTTATTCATTGTGACCGTTTTATCAGGTGTGGTCGATAGTGTCATGTGCYTAAATAAAATCCATTCTTAAAGCGTGAACACACGCGACAGAACGCCGAGGCGGGGTCGTGTTTTCCAAAATTCAAACAGCGTGTTGATTTGTCGAGTCGAGTGCCACCTCTTAGGAACCTGAACACTTTTGAGTGAGCATTGAATTTGGACGCTGATCTCACAAAACGTTGACGCAAAATCGCAAAGTCTGCTCAGGACTATCTGGTGTGTAGTTCGCTTTGTGCAAATTTRTAGGTCAAATTTTAGACAATTTGAGTTTCTAATGATGATTACAAAGTAGAGGATTATTAAGGACCACAATGGCGAGCTCGTTACTTCATTCGCGTAAGGTTGAAGGTAAAGAAGCGGTAAGGAAGTATGATTCAGAAGSCGATGGCAGCAGTGATGAGGAAAGTGCTAAACTGCTGAAATTTTCTTCTGTGAGAAAAAGGTGAAACATATTCTTCATAATGTTGAATAATTTATTCTATCAAACAGAGTTTATTAGTTCCACTTTTTGAATTAACTAAATGATGTATGAAGGGAAATTGCCGTCTCAGTATTTCAAAGCGACTCGTCTTGTCAGCGTTTATGAGTATATGATCATYTGAGAGGATTAGTATTTTGTTGTGGTATAGCTAAAAACCGCAAAGTCTGCCAGATCATTATACTAGCTAGTGAATTAATATAGCTTAATAGCGTACGCACATCTTTTCAATTTTTTTCGTCGACGCAGTGAAGATCTAGCGCAATTTAATGTTAAGTACGTGTTGTTTTTTTTAATTACTGGTCTTTAATTTGGAATAAGAAAAAGAAATTCATGTTAAAAAAGCGTTTGTTGAAATTGATGTTTCCACTAAGCGCATGAGGWTAACAAATTTTCGCGCGGATGTGRAAACARATTTCGAYYAAGTTATCTTGTAATCGGTAAGTTGAACACCAATTACTGCCTGGAAAATCATCTTAAACGATCACTGTCACTGAATAAGAATTTTTTTAATTGCTCTATAACTTCGGGTGCCAGTACATGCTAGCCAATTATCAACTGGTTTACAATTAAACACTCCTCTTATTGTTTTGACTTAAGGTGAGATGTTTTTTAGTGGAGAAGAAGAAGGAAGTGGCGAAAGGACCAGAACGGAAGGTTTTCATTTGTCATTCTGTTCCCTTCACCGCTACCTTCTTCCTCTCCGTCCTCGCTTATTACACTATAGAGAAAATAAGCCTTGAACAACGTTCTTGTTGTGGCTTTCATCAMACAATTCCTTCGTTTTTTCTCTGCGCGTGAAAATGAAAATTTTGGATGGACTGCGCGCGTTTACCTCACTTGAATTTGTCTAAAATACGCTCTCAAAAAGTCTAGAACTAAATCCTTGCCCTAAAAGCTCTTGAGTTTATCAATGGTATTTTTGTACCTTATTATACCTTTATAGAGTTATCGTATTGTCAATTGAACTCTGATAGCTAAATACTAAAAATATTTTTTCAGGGAGAGCGATTTCCGCCGCCATTTTGAATTCTTGAAAATGATATTCCCCAGAAGTCGCACTTTATAGCATTGACGGACTTTTTGAAAGTAAATTACTTCGTTGAGGACTAACTAGTGCAGGTGTCATTTCAGGTTGTTTTTGAGTTAAACAGGTAGCTTGTCAAATAAAGCTGGTCAAATTTCGCTAACTTGTGGGCTTCCCATAATACTTTGTAGGATTGCTACACATRCGCACAAGACTTCAACGCAGTGCTGTCTTTTTCCATAATTATTGCCATTTTTGTGTTGAATATTTACGTTATGTAATAAAGTATTGTAGAAAAAAAATAAAAGTTTTAGTATTTCTATTCATTACCGGAACAGCTGAATTACAACAATTTACATTTTATAAAATGCCCTCTGGAGGTGTCTCAGTACAAATAGGACTGAAYATTTTGACAGATAGTAATTCGCTTATGGTCTGTTAGGTCGTAAAAAAGACGTTTCTGTTCAAAAACAAATTTAAGCTTGACATTATGACCACGGGAGCGTATTGGAATATTTCATTGTGATTAAACACCGGCTAGTAATGACATTTTTCTCATTTGAAGTGGCCTGAGTTCTGTTATCTATCTGGAACCACAACACGCGTGACCGTTGAAGTTGTGCTCTTTCAATTTACTGGCTCACAGTGTGTGTTTAGAATTTTTACCAGATAACCTATTTCTTTCTTCTTCCAACAGATCACATTTAGACCAAATGACCAACGAAAGAGACGCGTTAAAGGACAATATCTTKAAAATATCAGAAGAAAAAGAAATGTTGATAAAAGAAAGTGAAGACGCAACAAGACAACTGGAACGACTTCACGAAGGACGACTAAGGTTAGCACAAGAAAATATTTTTTTGGCGACTGAAATCTTGATATGACATGCATTATTGAATAATCTTTTTGGTGGTATTTTAGGGAAACGGAAAGTTCATTTTTGGACAAGATGCAAGTGCTTCAGCAAACGATGTCCGAGGAACGAAATAAGGACCTACTGAATGCCAGCCAACATCGCTCAATGCTCGAAGACTCGCTCAAAATGACAAAAGGAGAAGAATCTAGGTTAAGACAGAAACTTTCAGAYGCTGAAGARGAAATTTTACGTCTCGAGAAGGCATTAGCAGAAAGCCAGGATAAATTAAATGAAGCTGATGTCACTCGAGACCGACTTGAGAAAGAGTTAGATTCCATGTCAGATCTTTCTGGAAGGGTGAGTCGACGTTTGCCGCTTTATTTATTTTTTAAAAATATTCTTATTGTTTTTGCTCTTTTTGGCGTATTTGTTTGTTTATCATATTTTTTTGTTTGTTTTTGTTATTTGGCTTACGTGTTTGTGTTATTTTTATGTACATCAAAATGCGTTCAACGCGACGCGTCTTCAATTTCCCGCCATTTTTTCGTTGCAGCTTGCKGACTTGGAGAAACAGCAACTGCTGAAACAACAACAAAACAGAAATGCTAACAAGGGCGTGAGAGAGCTAGAACGAATAAATAGGGTAAGTAAAAATTAGACTGATAATTATTTTGGAGCTWTTTAAGACTTMTTTTCTTTGCGTCYAACAGGAACTTCGCGACGAGAACGACGAGCTCCGACTTCAAGTCGAAGGTCTCATAAATCAAGTCAACACTTCGGTTAAACGTCGGCCGAGCCATCGGAAACGACAAAGCGGCGAAAAGGGAGTTCATAGAGTGGGATCTGTACTYTCCGACTACACGAAGCCCACRATTATTCGACGAAAGAAAGACGGAGGATCTTCGGAAGAAGACTCKGAAGACGAGGAGGATCAAGTGGACGGTGGTACGAGAATGAGTGGTGATGGAGGGTCGATTTACGGTGGGGGTAAGCATGGAATAGCCTGGCACATGCATGTGGAAGTGTCCTTCGTTCGTTTATGTCCTTTACAGAAATATTTTTTTTCTTCCGTTTGGGATTTTTTAAGGTATTTCTTTGGTCGATAAAAAGCGGAAGTCTCTGATTATGGACTAATGAAAATTAAAGCTGAGTAATGCAGATGATATTAATTTCAAACCTTCAGGCATAATGATGTCTTCTTAGGGTTATTTTCAAGGGAAATAGAAATCATTTTGAGACACTTTTTTTATTTTACGAGACTAAAATTGTGCCTTTCCATGCTTAACCCAGCTTAACCGAGCTTTCTTGCTGYGCATGTTACAATAACAAGCATGATTATTAATTGCACTTTAATATAGTTTAATTAAAGTTAATTTAAATGCTCGCTATGCTACGTTCACGAGACCGGCTCTATTTGTGTATTATTAACCCATGAACCAACGCTATACTGCATGCAACCGAATGAAATGTGGGTAAGCTTAGAAATCTTAAGTAAAAGTAAAGTGCGCAGTGTTATGCCATTTCTGCACGCCTTTTAATATAAAAACGGACACCTTGTTAAACGACCAGTTCGATTTATCAAGCTGAGTAAGTAGAGCACCAATGTATTGTTCGTAGTTTCAAGCACTTAACTATAGATGCATGTTTCGCTCATAAAACTACTCATCTTAATTCTCGGTAAAAAATAATGATATATCGCCGTCTTGCTCAGATGTTCTTGATTTCACAAGTGATTCGTTTCCTAACATAGTAAATCACGTTGGTACTTCTTGGTTCTTCTTATACCACAATACAATGCTGTTTAGGCTGATAACGTCTCATATGGCATCCCATTTTCTTTTTTGCTCTCATTTTTTAATCTTTTCAATTGGAGCTCCTTAGTGACAGTCATGCATTTCCATTAGCGATTGTGATTCCCATTCTTTACTCCACTTCGTACCCATTTTGTGCATGTTCACTTGCTGGTGTTGTTTCCTTTCATTTTCCCACTTTCCATTCGAATTTTTAATCATTCATTATCACAGAGTTAAGAATGTTGGAGAACATTCGCACTTGAACAGTTGGCTACTTTTTATGAGTGTAGGCACTCTACATGCGTTGGTGTTACTTGCACAGCATCTTTTTACAGTGTATATCACTGTCTTTTTCATTTGCATTGGATTGCTTAATGGACATTCATTATCCGAAAAGATAGCAGCCTCATTTCACTGCCATCTTGCATTCTCAAAGTGCATATCTCTGTCTGATGCTTATGCTTTGGATCACTTGCCGGCATTCACGAGGCATGTATGCTCGCTTCCATTGGCAAAGAAATCTGTTTTATATGCATATATGTTGAAGCATGTTTGATACTTTCGGCATTCACCAGGCATGTACCACCACGTCCATACACAAAGATATCTGTTTTATACATATTTGTTGAAGCTTCTGATGCAGTCGGCATTCACCCGCCATGTACCATAACTTCTATTGACGAAGTGCCTTCCATGCAATTTGATTGAAGCTTTTGTTGAAATGCATGCACTATTTAAGAGCATGGTGAGGGGTTGTCATTTACCGGACATGTAGCCGCACTTCACAAGAGCATAACTTCCTATCTTCATGAGGGCAAATGAATGCACTTTTAGATCATGCTGACGGGTTGTCATTCACCAGGCATGTCGCTGCACTTCACAAGCATACCTTCCTACCTTCACGAGGGCAAATGTATGCACTAGTTAAGCATGCTGACGGGTTGTCATTCACCAGGAAAGCAGCGTGCGTCATTTCATATGCATGCTTGCAATCCACAATGACATGTTTCGGTCTTGTGCACTTTCATTGCAACTCTTCACAAGTAATCTATCACGCACTCTTTTGGTTGATTTCTGCATGAAAGAGATACCTTTAGTTGACTTTATCTTATATTTATACCTGTCTTCTTGTCAATTAAGACGATCAAGACACGGATGATGATATATCTGTTCCATGGTCAATCGAACGTGAGTAGCCCGCAACCTCTCTGCGATTGCTGTTAYGTTACGTTAGCCRTGATGCCCGCTTACCGCATTACAGCAAAACGTAACACTGACGTTCTAGACTTGAACTTGTAAGACGTTGGAAACGTAACACTCACTAACGTACCAGATATAACTCGTAAATTACGTAACACTTACAACGTACCAGATATAACTCATATGTCGTAAATTACGTAAYATTTACTAACGTTTCGGACGTTAGATTTTACGTTTACTTGTTAAGAAATCAGACTTACTGTAGAATAACACAAATTTGACCTAAATTACGCAACAGTCGCAAACGTTTATTACGTCAACGTTAGCACTGTAACATGTTTAGATTGACAAATGACAATTTTTTGTGTTAAAATCCTTTTTTGTCGCTGCATTATCGTTTGAATATGATTTTCGATCAATAGACATTGCGCTTTAGACGTATACTGTTTTTTTTTCAATATGGTTTTTGTCGTTAAATCCTGAAGCGAGCACCCACCCTATGCTATATAGCCTTCTCCGTGYTCTCTTTTGATGTAATACATGAAGCCCGTTATAAGAAAGGAAAGAGAAGCCTGCGGAGGAAGCTATATATATATGTGATGATTTTGAAATGTTATGTCGACTCTCTTTCGCCGGTTTAACATATAAAGGGCGTTATGGGAGTTGACCCTATGTACATATCTCATGTATAGTGTATTTACTTTAACAGAGAATGAAGCTGAGAAGCAGAGCAATCTCGGTAAATATCAACGAAACTTTTTACTTCTTGCATCACTCGCTCATTTATTATTAACTTTTATTTTCAAGGAGTTGAAATAACTCCACCAATAGAGTTAAAGCTACTCTACGTGGTTGAGTAACTCTAACGAGAGTTACAATGCGAGTAGTTTTTACTCCAACTCGGAAAGAGGGTCAATATTACTCCAAAAGGAGTTCAAAGTTGCTCTTAGAAGACGAGTCAAAATTRCTCCCCCAGTTAAAATTGGTATAGTTAAATCTACTTCAAAAAAAAAAAATAGTTTTTTGGTACCTTTTTTTAACTCCGCTTTTCGAGTWACATCAACTCCTTGTAATAACAGTGTTCTGGAATGTCTTCTGTACCCATATTAATATAATATTACTTAATCTTTTGTTCTAGAAACTATCAAGAAACTTGAAGCAGAAATCCTGGAGAAGGACTCATCGATAAGCGAACTTCAAGCCAACGCGCAAAACGAGCGACGCGCCATGGAATCCAAACTCAAAGAGTTAGCCGATGAAATTTCAGCGCATGAGAATTCCATCAAAGAAAAAGACATAAACATCCAAAACCTGAAAAATGAGATTGAAACACTTCGAAGTATACACGACTCCAAAGAAGACGGCGCTCAAAAACGATACGAAACAGAGCTKGCGAATCTAACGTCTCAGTTTACAGGAGAAATGGAGCAGCTGCAGTTGTCTTTGGTACAAGAGAAGGAACAACTCGAACACGAGTATCAAGAMAAGATGAAAGATATGGAGAAGTCGTTTTCGTCTGAGAAGAAGCGATTGTCGGACGACCTGGAGGGAAACTTCGCGCAAATGAAAGAAATGTTGATTAATGAGTACGAGAGCGAAAAGTCAGAAATGGAAGAAGAACAYCAARGTGAAAAAGCAATGCTTGAGAAATTYTACAAGAGTGAATTAGAGACYGCAAAGGATAAATTCGACGAAGAGAAAACCAAACTCATCGAGAAAATTCATCTTTTAGAAGAAGAGAATTCTGAGGGGGAGCTGAAATTTCTCAATGAAAAAGCTGCTATGGAACAGCAATTTAGGATAGAAAAAGCAGAATTGGAATTAAGCTCCAGTAGTTCGAAGGCAGAGTTCAATAAAAGTCAGCGAGATTGGGCAAATCTTCGSGTTGAGCTCGAGAAAGGCCACAAAGAGCAGATCCAAGCTCTTGAAAATGAGTTCAAAAGAGAAAGATCAAAACGCGATGAAGAAACGGATAATAAAATCTGGGAACTTAATCAAGCACATGCCAAAGAGGTCGCAGCTCTRAAGCAAAACTTTGACCAATCAARAGCAGAACTCGAGCAAAAATTTTCGCGCCAAAAAGCAGAAATGCGCGAGTCGTTTACGCGGGARAAGARTGARATGATGCAGAAATTCGAGAGAGAGCTTGCCGAGCAACGCGAAGCTCTCGAGAAAGAGTTCTGTCAAAATCTWAATGAACAAGAAGCTCAGCTTAGAAAAGGATTCTTTAAAGAAAATTCTGAAATGGAGAAGAATTTACGGGAAGAGAAATATCAACTTGAAGAGGAATTCCAAGAAAAAGTTGCGGCAAGTGAAATGAGCTTCCAAAAATGGAAATCTGAAATCGAGGAACATTTCACTGAAGAAAAAGCAAAATTACTTCAAACTGCTGCGCGAGAGAAATCAGATATTGAAAATAAATATAAAGATGAAATTACTGAACTGCGACAAGCATTTTCGAACGGTGAAGCAGGCTTGAAAGGTCAGCTCAAAGARGACTTTTATGGAATGCTTGCAAAACACAAAGCCGAGCTAGAACAGAGCTATGCTAAGTCAAAAGCTCAACTCGAAGAAAGCTTTTTCCGAGAAAAAGCCGAACTTCAGCGAAGTTCGTTAGTCGAGTCGAGCGAAGTTCGGGATAGCTATACGCGAGAAAAAGCCGAGCTCGAAGAAAGTTATAAGAAAAAGATAAAAGCACTCCAAGATAATTTTGCTAAGGAGAAAGGGGAAATAGAAAATGAWCAATTGAAGGAAAAAGACAAAATTCGCGCTGAACTYGAAGCCGAGTTTTCTTTCCGTATGAAAACCGATCATGAAGATCTGGAAGAAACTGTWAAACACTTACAAGGTGAAATAAACTATCTTAAAGAACAAAAGAAAGAACTCGAAACAAAAGTACAGAGTCTCGAATTAAAGACACTTGGGCGCGAATCACTTGATGTCAAAGTTGCGCGAGAGAAGATTTCCGATCTCGAACGTAAACTTGAATCGCTGTCGAAAGAAAAATCGAATCTCTTAAAAGAGAACAACGAATATAAAATAAAAGTCGATGAAATGGAAAAAGAAAATCAAGAATTAACTGAGAGTGCCCTGGAGAAGCAGAAAAAGCTTGCWGCCATGGATGAGGTATGTGTATTTTTTACCATTTTTCGTTCTGTATCGAGCGATTTCGAATGAATAGGAAAACGTGAAATGCTGAAATTTTGTTCAAATCATGACTTGACAGTAAAGCGTCTTACTCGTACAAATACTGCTTTAGACAGTCGGCATATTAGTTATTTTAGTACCATTTTATGCATTCATAATCTTTACCCAAGCTCTTACTTCTTTCTTATAAGCAAAATACGGATCTTCAACTCTCAAATGAGGGATGGGTCATACAAGGTTTAGGGGGAAGGGGTGCACCGTTTTTTAGATTAGATTTATGCGTTGGATCTTTTATAAAAGGTTCTGATTGRAAAAGAAATGGAAATCAACGAACAAAGTGGTAGAATAAGCGAGCTTGAGACGGTTATTAGTGAATTGCGGGAAACCAACAATGACTTGGAAGAAAAATTTAACATCGAAAMGTCTGAGAAAGACCAACTTAAAGAAAAGCTCGAGGAAAGAGAACGAACAGTTTCTGGGTTGGCGTCAACTGAGACAGAGCTCTCGAGTATTATGTTAAAAAACCAAGAGATTGAGACCTTACTGCGCACGCGTGACTCAGAAAATGAGGAGCTRCAAAAAAGACTCGAGGATCAAAACATGGARCTCGAGGCCGAGCTCGACGACTTGCAGAAAGAATTAAAATTGGAGATTGTTAAAAGCCAAGGTTACGAGACTTTGCTTGATGTAAAGGAAAACGAACACCGTGATTTGGAAGAGCGATTGAAAGAAAAATCGGCCGAAAAYGCTGAGTTAGAAGAGCAAGTKAAACAGTTRACTGAAACTGTGGCGCGTTTACAAGACATTGAGATCAATGAACTGACACAGAAACTGCAAGAACAWATMTCWYTAAATGATAGTCGTGAATTGCAGCTACAAGAACTTGAAGAAAACTTRTTRGAGAAGACAAAAAAYAGCACRGAGCTAGARTCRATCGTCGCRACCCAGAAAGAAGACCTCGAAGCTTTACAAAATCAAACCATACATGCCCTTCAAGAAGAAAGCGAAAATAGACGAATGCGCTGTATGGAACTTGAAGAGGAAGTTAGTCAGCTGACCATGAAGATTGCAGACATTCAAAATGTTCTTGTGCCTCAGCTTGAAGTCGAGGTTGAACAGAAGACGAATAAAATCATTGCTTTAGAGGACCAGATGCAAGAGATGGTCGACAAACTGGAAATGTTTGAAAACGAAAAGATAAGCGAACTGAGTTCAATACTTCAAGAAAAAGAGTCTCAAAATGTACAACTAGAGCTAGATCTAGAAAATATTAAATTAGAAATGGAGAATAATCAAAAACTTCGACTTAAAGAGCTGGAAAACAAGTTTGCAACCAAAGTGGCCCACAATGAAGAACTCCAAAAGGAAGTCGAAGAACTTATCAAGAGACTTACAGACGTCGAGAACAACCAAGTCCGCGAACTGAGGATCTGGGTACGAGAAAAGGAGGACCATAATGCACAGCTTCAGCAGCAAGTGACACAGCTGACCAAGCAGCTCGCAGGCATGGAGGATATTCGACGGAGCAAACTAGAAGTTGAAAAGGTTTTTATTTTTTATTCGCTCCTCTATGGACAAGTCTGTGTAACTCTCCAACTCTGTACTAATGATGTCAGACTATGGCCTATTAATCCTTGTACTGATTTTAACCAAAAGGGTTTTTAATTTTTAATTCATTTTAATCATGTTTATAATTAAGTGAATTAGTTTGTATTTTGATAGTTGTTTCCAACGTATTATTCTCTGATTTGAGAACCCTTTAATTACTTTAATCCTTGAACATGAATGTACGTGACACAATAGGCAATGTTTAGCGACGCCATTTTGTTCAACAAAGCAGCTTCGTATTTTTCTTTACGTTCGTTATTAGAATARTCCCAAAAGCCGTTTTTATGTACTCCTTACAAAGGTAGAWATGTTCTTGGCTCTAGTTAGTAGGCAAAAACGTCTGAGCACTGGGAGCTCCCGTCATGCTTTGCTGTACAAAATGGCGTCGCTGCATTCAAMACGAGAMKGAATGTGAGAGTGATACTGGCCTTTAAATGCACAAAATCTTTCTATTTTTGACACTAGCTCGTCAATGTTTTAACAGTAATATAAAGTAACGATGTAGGCTGTTCTTAGCTAAGTAAAGTTAGCAACTAAATAATAAAATAATTGTGAATAATGCATGGAATAAACTCTTATAGATAAGCACGTAATCACCTAAAAAAATGAACTAGGCTGATAACAACAAGGCCAGGTCTGACAAGCTCATTTTCTATTGTCTTGTACTAACATCTGTACATTTGGAGTGATTTTCGCGGGACTGTGATATATTAAAACAATCTTATCAACATTTATGTCAAAAATTATTGGACGCAAGAATTCCTCCAATCGTTTGTCAGTTTTCATGGCTATTTTTGAGAATCGACGCATTGAACGGACTTTAGCTTATTGATATTTCACATTGCGGTGAAAATCGCTCCCTAAGCAAACAATTACGAACTAAATAACTCCTTGGTTACATCGATTCGGTGTATTCCACGTTTAAATTTTATCATTGTACCTAACTATTATGTCATACAAARTAAATAAATATGACTTAACTAAATTTAAATCATGAGTACATTTTCTAAAGTGGTGGATAGCTCATCGAATGGAAAAAAACTTATTTTCTTAAGCTGCTATTTATGCCCTTATATGATCTGAAAAAGATAATCAGTATTTGCAGGTCGGGTTTATAAAACTTATGTAATTAACTACAATTGACAAATGTAAATGAAGACATAACTTTACCAAAGCTTAAAAAATTAAACACTTTTGTGCAAATAAGATTTAAAATGTTAATAAATCTAAAAGATTAAACTAAACGACTATTTTTGTGTTTTTTAACCTGGTTTATCTTAGCTCCGTTAGCGTATTAACATACTTAACTCTTAGACAATTTACTTTAATGTTTCTTGTACGACCTGAACGTTGTAGCTTCGTTGTGAACTTCTTATCAAATCTATTTTCTCTCCTTAACTCTGACCTCTTAACTCTACATGGCAAATGTTACGGCTTTAAATGAACTCATTTCTTATCAAAACTGTCTTGTTTTCAGACCAAAAGYGAGCTTATTTCTCTGGAAAGACGACTCGACGACGTCAACCACAAGAAACTTTTCTTAGAAAAACAAATGCAGGAAAAGAACGCAGAATCGAAAGAGCTGTACGAAGAAGTTTGTGYATTGAAAGATAAAATCGATAAAATCGAAACATCATATCGCCGAGAGATCGACATTGAAAAACAGAAGGTATGAACTAGAGGATTAAAATTGGAATAAATCACTTCATCTTGACTTCCTAGTCTAAAAACATTATTAGCTTCGCGTTATTCTTACGCGCCAATGATCAGAACTAATGGTACATCCATGATCGTGATGTGATGTGCAGACTCGTACCCAGTCGCTTCTCTCGATTTTTGGGCGGCGCGCAATGGACCAAGGGAAGTAGCAAAAAAGAGTAACGACTGGGTACGAGTCTGGATGATTTGGCAAAGRGTCGACACAAACCTTTGCGAGAGTGCTTTTGTGTCAACTGGTGAAATACAGCCACTCTCTTTGACCAATCAGAACGCGCGTAAGAATTCCACCATTCACAAGGACAATAGCACACAAGGAGGTCACTAGCACATTCCTCCTTTATCATTACTCACACCACCCCCCCACGTTAATTGCTTCGGGACGTCCCGCGGGTCGTACATGTCCATTTGCTAACCGCTCAATTCCAGTTAACCTGCGCATTGCTAAAGACTTCGTTTTGTGAGTGTTTGCCTCTGTGTGATGTCAGTGTTGTGTGTATCGTGATTGGTAAGTTATGTGATTGTTCATGCATACACCGTGTGGTAATGTATTGTAATATTATTAAAGGGTCATGGCTAACCGGCATCCAATGCGGTCGTGTGTTAGATTTTTTTATAGAAGGAAGAATGAGGTCACTTAAAATAGGTGGGAACTAGCGGTAAACTAGTGTGAGCTGCGTCGGTGTTTCTAAAGAAACAGTTGTTTTAAAAGATAAATTTAACACCGTAAAAAGTAGGTGAAACAACTTACTGACGTTTCGGACGTTAATCCTTTAAGTTGTTTCAAACTTTTGCATGTATTACAATGTATTTCCAAACATAAACAAAAGCTCGCAAAGGACGCYGGTTAACAATTGACCTTTAATTATGAATATGTTATTCYCAGTSAATTCTGTTGGTTTGTTTTATCACTGTTTATGTTAGTTTATTGTTTTACTTTATATTTGTTAATTAAATGTTTAGTTTTGTGTATTTGTTTAGTTTTGTTTTTCTCATTATTTTTTCCTTCATAACTTCCCTCCATTTCATGTATCTGTGCATAAAAAAATTCCTCGTGTCATTTCAAAGACAATTTTTGCAGCTAAAAATTCTTGACTCCAGTTTCTAGTTCCTACCTAGGTTTTCACCAGGGTCTAGACTCTGCTCCCAAACTCCTAGACCCATGTCCTTTCGATGATCAAGTGAGTGCTTGTCAAAATGTCATAGATACAATGTCTTTGTTTCCAGGTCATGATGGCCACTACGGAGCTAGAAACCTGCAGGTCGAAGCATCAACGAGATATCTCCGAGTTACGAGACCAACTACATCGTGCTAACATAGCAAGTGACCGAGATCAGGCGCTWAGGGAGAAGGTTTTCAATGAAGCAAAGGCTGAAGTTATATCRTTGAATAAAAAGGTAAACATCACATGTAATTATTGCGTTAATTAGTGTTTTACTGTGTGCGAGCATGTAGTGTCTGTCCTCTAATATAAGCAAAATCATCAGCCAATGAGATCGCCCGTTATATATCAAATATGGTGACTATTTGTGCCACTGCTTGGAGTTCACTGCCTGGACCTTTTTTTCCTTTTTGTTGTCTGGTCATGGGGCTAAAGGCTGTTCAGATAACTCCGCTAGCGCCCTAGCCACTTAGATTCTCATGTCTTCTTCTGTATCTCATCTTGGGTGGCTGAGGGAATACTACAATAGAGGTGGGCTCCTGGCAACTAAATTAGAGGAGGCGATTTATGTCTCGTTTATGAGCCACTCCCCAAGAAAGGTTTACCGATACCCTTATAATGACTTATATGATACATATATGATACCCTAATAATCCCTTGAAATGGTATGGCGTTTATGGCTGATTAGACAACGAAAATAAGATCAGTCTTGATCTCTCGTTTTTCATCTTTTAAAATAAGCCAGCCATACACTGTACTGAGCTCTGTATCGTACTGGTTACGATATATCAGTGACTTGAAAGTTTTCAAAAGTATTGATATTGTTCCAAGACCTCTAGTGCTTTTTATACACCAAACGTCTTTTCAATACTTACTTCCTCTAAAATATATTCTTCATTTTACCTTTTCCAGTGTTGCCCTCTTGGTATCTTTTCCTTTTTCGTCCTCAAACTAGTCATTCTCGTTTTCAGTTCTTTCAGTGTTTTCAAGTTACCTTGTTCTTGTTCGTCGTCATTGTCTTCGATGCATATTATGTGTAATTGTAGTCAATAAGTCCTTCCTCCAAATGTTATTTCACTTTTCCAGCTCCTCCATTGTTCTCATGTCATCTTTTCTTGTTTTCTTCATCATCTTCTTCCCTTTAATGCAATTAGGACATAGATGAAGTTGATTTAAGCTTTCCTTCTATTGAAAGTGCTGCTACTCTTGAAGTGTTCGGTGAAGTAAGTACTAAATCATCGCATGTAATTTCCATTCTCTTCCATTAATTTCTCACAACGTTAATCGTGTAATACTCTTTGCTTTCGACGAGAAAGAAGTGATTTACTCTTACATTACTGAGGCAAATTCAGCCTCAATTCCTGAAGTTTGTAAAACCTACTCTTATATCAAAACTGATCAATTGATTGTGATGACGTGCTTAACATCCACAAAAAGATCTTTGCAATTTCTCTCAAATAAACTATTTTAACCACCGGTAAAACTCGTGTTGGCGATTGGACAAAATATGTTTTGATATCTGCTTTTCTTTGCTTGTTTTTAAGTTCTTCTTTTTATTTCCCTTCAATTTTCTTGATTGTAAGTCTGTGCTTGCAAGTCATGTAGTGACTTTCGTGAAAAGTTGCATGATGAACCGGTATCTTCTTTAATAAAACACTTCAGGCTGTGATAACATATCATCTATTAATTCTTATTGAATACACAATGGTTTAAGATCGGTTTGGTTGTCTTCTTGCACAATGATTTAAGATTGGTTTAATTGTTTCGTTATTACAGCTTGAGGAGAAAACACGCCGAGTCCGTGAACTAGAGCAGGCCAGTCAACTGTGGGAAAAGCGAATCACCGACCTTGAAACACAGAAAATGGCGATGGCKATGAAAGTACAAGAAGCACGTGACTCGTTAGACGAACATGTAGCAAGACTAAGCAAACAGGTAAAAATGAACTCAAAGCAAGTTAAACGCTGCGTAAAACAAGAAAAAAGGAAAAAAACGAACACTAAATGATTTCTAGTTGATAGTTAGAACACATGAAAGGTGGAGGAGATAAAGCGGTTAAAATAAAATGAAAAAACTCAATGCCACTCTAAAAAAATAAAGCTAAAAAACAGCAAATACAGACGAATGGAAAAAATCGCGCACTGTAAAGGTTGTAAATTTGATGTAAATATGATATATTTTTTTCGATATCGGATAATATACGATTGATAGTCCTTGAGTCGTTAATTAGTGTTTAAATAAAAAAGGAAAATTAAAATCTCGCAAGATATATGCAGAATATTTGAAACCGAATTACAAGTTTGCTTAGCAATTAAAAAACTGAAATACTACGTATTTCAAACGTTCATGGTATGCTCATGGTAATTAGTTGAATAAATAGGCAGATATTTGTATTGTAATTGGCTTTGATAAAGTGAAAATAACTAAAATAAGTCAGTAAATAAACGAATAAAGTAAAATTAAATAAATGCTTTTAAAAAGTTAAACTCGAGGCGCTCAGCATGATTTGTAGTCGAATGCGTATCATGCTGTGGGGGCGCCCCTTGAACTCACAGGATCTCCTGAGATCCTAATGCGCATACACTAAGGTTTGGTTTTCGACTTCATCGTCCCTTCCTTTCTCGTATTTGTTCCTCCGTTCTCCTTTCCTTCGTTTGTCCCTTCCCCCTTTGCGCTTCCCTCAATCCTTTCATAGTCATCCCTCCTTCCTTCCTTCTCACCGTTCTTCCATACCTCTTTACTCTCGACCACTTTCTTTCGCCGTTGATTAGCTAAGGTTGCACCACCAGTGCTTTCTCGCCTTGTAGCTTGCTTTGMTACTAKTTAKCTTCTTCGTTTCTTTCTCTAACATTCACCATTCTTTTCCAGCTCCAGCACTCTGAGATGAGAAACACACGCTCTGACACTCTGGTACAGGAATTATACATAGAAAATGCTAAGCTTACGAAAGCGCTWCAGCAGACAGAAGCGAATGAGAAGAAGGCAGAGAAGAATTTGAGGCAATTAATGGAGCAGAAACGTGCTTTGCAGCGAGTCATATCGAAACTTTGCGGCGCGAACGCCATCGCGTAAAAACAACTCGTTATCTTGACATGCTAAAAAACATAAACTACATACATTCCGCTCACGGAAAAACACTTTTAGGATTTTATATAAAAGAACTAGGTAATTTTAAAGTTGATCGCCAACATGTGTGCGTTGTTTTTGTTACAAAACATACTAAGATAGCAATTTCCCTTTCAATATTCATTTTCATTTCAATTTCCCTTTCACTTCTCATTTTTCGTTCATTCATTCATTTCACAGTTGTTTCTATTTGTAATGTTTGGAAGCATGTCAAGTTACTTATAGTACAATATATTTATCTTGAAATTAGTTAGCGACTTAAGATATATTTATGGATAGTCTCATTTGAAACTCGCTTTCCATGCACACGGTTAGAAATCATTTTACTTCTTCATGAAGGAGTATATCTTTCAAAGACAATCTCAGGCCGTTGTGTATATAATTCGGCCTTGTCTATCTACATTCAATTCCCATTTGCAACTCGTCATTCGCAAAGGGTTAAAATATAAGTTGATTTGTTCGCGTTTTACTATCAATCATTCTCACATTTTGATAGGCCTCAATGAATTCCTTGTAAAATATTATGATTATTGTACAATTTGCTACAGAAAAATTCTATTTTGTATTTTTCTACCCCTTTTATCGTCCTTAGAATTTTATCTCGTTTATACAGGTTACAATTGTAAATATCACTACAAATATATTATATCGAAAAATTCAATTAATGGAGGAAAATAAGGACATTTTGCACTGCATATAAGACYGAGGCTGCGTGTGCACGTATCCGCCTGTTATCCTTCATGATTTTGCAAGGTTTCTTGTGATTGGAGGAATAAAACAATGCTCATTGTTTCCTYGTTCTTAAATYCWATTGTTTYCTTTTGTTCAACAAATAGCTAGTCAACCAATCGGATAAGATCTTGCAAAACCGCGAAGGGATACCCGTATTCGGGCATTATTTTTAATCGTATTGTATGCCTTAACGAAAACGGTTGTTTCCGAAACGAAAAAATTGTGCAGTTTCGGAAATATGCGGATATCTGTAAACGCAGCCTGAGGAAAGCTATACAATTTTCAATAATGTTATAAATGTAGGTGTTTTTCAACATAGAATGCCTAAGTTCCTATTTCTGGTCAAATCAAATATTCCTAACAACTAATTAAATTCTCTCGAGTCTTTGCGTTTTGTTCGGCCATACTGCTGTGAACTTCCACTAAAGCAAACAGCACTAGTTTGGTTTATAGATACACTTTTTGTTTACGTTATACCGTGCAATTAATCGTTAAGATATATATACAAATAGTATTAAAGTTTTTTATCAGTTGTATTTGGAGTTTGATGTGCTTATACGAGGATATTCTGGGGTTATTTCCCCCGACCCCTCCTTCCCTCGGAATTATTCTGGGTCGTTGGATGGCAGTAAAACAAAATTATGATTGGCTGCCTTGCCAAAATCCCTTTTAGTTCAATAAAAAAAGAAATAGAAAGATTCAGATAATGAAAGAAGTTCCATAAAAAAAAAAAGAAATAGAAAAATTCTGAAAATGAAAGAAAAAAAGAAATGAAAGAAAAAATACTAATGAATGCATGGAACTCATTCTCAAAAAAAAAGAAAGAAAATCAGAAAGAAATCAATCCATTCTCCGCAGTTCTAAATCTCTCCTTTTAATGTATTTTATTGGATTAATCAACCCCCTTTTGAATGCTCAGGATACGCCGCTGAATAGGCAGGTTAATGCATGATGATTTTCAGCGTTTGTTAATCCGGTTGTCAAACGTGCTGTTTAAACAGTAAACCAAAGCTATTATTACCACAACTCGGCAGTAACCCGGATGCTCAAAAGCCCGTATGTATTGATACTGCAACATCCTACGTACAAAGGGATATTTGTATAATTTATATGTATAATCGTAGAAGCCCATGTATTCGTATCTTTGCAGATGGATATATGGGTGTTTCATTGCCAAACCCATATTAAAATCCCATTTAATGAATTAAGAGGTAAGTGAAGGTAATAAATGTTTCTCATTGCTATTATTCATCTCATTTGAATAAGTTTAATTGAGAAATATAAACAAATGGGACAGATTACACAGTTTGACGTTGTTGTTAATGTTTTATCAGATATAAAAAGCAGTGGTTTTTAGGGAAATTAGGTCTTTATCGAGCTTATAATTGGTAACACCGTGGTTACATATTTTTTGACGTTATACATCACAAATCGTGATATGCCATGCAATTACAAATTCGAATTTATTTCTAGATTTGTACTTGAAACAGTTGAAAAACAATTAAAACATTACCATTATCATATTCCACTATATAAGGCATAAATTCTTTTTTTATTTGCACTGAAAAGAACGAAAAAATCGCTGAATCAATGATATTTACATACGCAAGTTTACCTTTTTTACTGTACTGAATTCAAATAATCTTTCACAAATTAACTATTTAAAAAAAATCACGGCAAATCAAGCTATCCATTTGCTTTCTTTTAGTGTATTTAGCTAGCTCCAAGCTAATTTATATTTGAATACGGAATCTGTCCGAAATCCTGTGTTTTAAAAATCAAATTTTGACCAGTATTTCTTTTGCTAAATTAACACTTTAAAATGTGACAACTTGGCGATGTATGCGGTCCGAGTATTGTTAACTTTATAGTTAAACAAGTTGAGTCGTTCCTTTTTATTTATCCTAAAGCTCTCAATGCCAAAATACACATATATTTGAAGACCGAGAGAGTACTACGGATAATAATGACTCAGATAATAAAAAATTACGTTTATATAGTCGTTTTTTAGGATGATCGAGAACATTTCTTTTTCAATAATAGCAATTATATGGGAGATCAAATAAATAAGCATTTGAAGATTTCTCTCAATAGATCTGTGAAGTGTATTTATCTCAGATAACATAGCAAAACGACGCGCAATGTACTTATGTCGATCTGTTAGTACACTTAAAGCTGAATTTTCCTTTTAAATATCGGTGGGACATGAGGGAAGACCGCAGTGGGTTCGTCCCATGACACTTACTGAGGCTGTTTAGCACTTTGAATCCAATATCACTGAGAAAAAAATCGCGCGCTTTAAAGGTTGTAAATTTGATGTAAATATCATGTAAGTCTCCAAAATTATCATTTACATCAAATTTACAGAATTTTGGACACTTACATCATATTAACATCAAATTTAGAACCTTTAAATCGCGCGATTTTTTCCAGTGTGTGTAATAGGTGGAATCCAGTGAATGCTTGCGAAATCTTTCATGGAATCTGGAATCCAGGATCGCTCCGGATTCCGTGTCATGCGGCGAACATAATGATCATGTGTTCCATTCTATCAATTCAACGTGTGCTGATTAGTAATTCCATTCAATCAATAGACATATTACTCAGTGAAAAGTGTTCATTTGATCAGGTGTTCCATTTGGTAAATAAACTCACAACGATGACCATAATTTACGATGGAAAATGCCAAAAACGGTCTGAAATAGCTTAAATCTGACACTCGGTTTAAGTGTTAATAAACAACTTCATGCTTTCAATCACGATTAGAGTCAATATTTGTATTTATGATAACGAGCGCGCTTTGTACTGTTTGTGTATTCCTACTAGCAACTTACTCTACCCCAGTCCTCATCATCATGTGATGAGCACATGTACAGGTAACCCACTCAAATGTTTTTATATTCCTTCTTTGCAGCCAATGAATTCTTTAATTAGAAGAAAAGTTACTTATTTTTATCTTCTTGGCCAATCACGTGATGTCTAGAGGGGGAATAATGCAATCGTCAGGGAGACTAGCAGGTATATGCAGGTACTATGGTGAGGGCTTAACCTCAGGCATTTGACCCATTATCCATATAAGTGATTTCTACATAACATACCAGTGAAATATCCTGACAATATATAGTCCAAAATTAAATAAAACTTAGTGCAAAAACCTACGATATCATTGCCATAAGAAGCTTTGCAAAATGTCTTCAATCTGTAAAAAGTGTTCATGGCTACCAGACGCAAAATCGACTTCTACAGCAGTTTAAAAAAAGCCAAAAATAAGAATAGAAATCCCACTGTGTTAGTTTATTTATTATTGATGAAAACCAAAAACCAGAATTTTGAACCAGAGAATTTGTTATTTTGGAAAACTGTCAAATCCATTGTAAACCTTGCAGCTTGTTAGACAGCAGCGAGCAACAAACTTCCACGAAGAAGAATTGCTGGAAAAAGATACTTGGATGATATAATGAGGTATTATTTCAATTCTAATATCAAAATGACCAATTGCACAGGGATTATCTTGCTGTGATTTTAAGACATTTCTGGAAAACCAACACGAACTATAGTAGCTTGCAGACTTTGATTTTCGCATAAGCATTGTGCTATGATGAAAAAACGTTTTCACCAGCTCCAGTTGTTCATGGTGCAATGTTTTTGGAGCTCAACTATATCTTTGTAATTGCTATTTCTACCTTTTCTTTATAACTAAAATTACATCTTCTATCATGGAATTTACCTTAAAATACATATGTTAACTTAAAGCTATTTGTTGCATTTCAATCTTTTTAGTATACCTTCCACATGCAATCTTATTCTTGCGACGAAGTTCCAGAACATTTATAAAGACTCATAAATTTGCAAGCGCTTGTAAAACAAAAATTGTAAATAATATAAATAATAATTATGAATTATTATTATTATAATTATTATGGTTATTGTTTGATAAATGGTAAAAGTTAACAAGTTTCTTCTGTCATTTCAGCTGACATTCCCAGAAACCTATAAGTTTCTCTACAAATCAAGCTTCTCGATACTTGGCAATACTTTGATTTTACATCAATTCAAAATGAACAAGCCCAGGCCGAGAAGAACCCGACATCGGCAAAGCTCTTCGCATATTCCCGTGCGCAGCAGCTCAAGCAATGAGCAGACTCAAAAGACAACTTACAGCGTTCGCGYAGACGGCTCTAGTGGTGAAATAATATCCAGCAACTCCAACATGGAGACAGCAGAAGTAATCCATAGCTCACGATCTTATTCAAGCAACGACGAATCTAAGGAAATGACTCAACAAAATTATGGAGAATCGCGTTACGATGATAGAGTTTACATTAAAGGGGGATTAAAGACGGAGGAGAAGCTTGGTAGTCCAAGATACACCGCTGGCAACGAGAAKTGTCAAAAGATAAGTGATTTGCGAATGAGCTCTGATAGTGAAGGCGTCTACAACGAGTCGAACGAGAATATCAGTTCAAGAAGTTTCTCTGGAGACGGGGAATATAAAAAGACTGTTTATAATTTTAGGTCCGATTCTGAYGGAGAAGCCATTTGCAATGATRGYAGTGAGAAAATYGTTTGTAAAACAACTAAYTTTTGTGGAGACGGAGAGCACCTGAACACTGTCTATCAAATACAAACAGATTCTGATGGAGAAGGTGTTTTCACCAATGAAAATTCAAAGAATGAAGAAAGTGTTATCTATACATCTCGGTCCGATGATGGTGAAATCACAACCGTGCGACAGACGTTTAAGATTGTAGGAACCATTGACCAAGACAATAGGTGCTCGCGGGAATCCCTAACCAGTAACGTTGACAGTGCATTTCACGGCTCTCTTGACTTTCTCGACAAYCTGGATGAAAACGATACAAAGTACTCGAGYAAGAAAATTWCCAAAAGTGTCAGTTTTGAAGATGTTGGCTCGGACAGTGTTAGCAAACTTTGGATTAAGCCAAATGATAACATAAAATTGGAAATGCAACAAGAGGTGGGAGAGGACGAGGAGCTTTTAAGGGAAGAACTTCTTCGAATCTTTGATCGAGAGAGACTCACTTTGGGCTCTTTCTTTAAGAACAAAATGGAAGACTTGGCACGTGACTGCAGACAGCGCGAACTTGATGCGGAAGAGCATTCGCGCGCTGAAATAGCTGAGATGGAAAACGAAATGGCGCGAGARAAAGCTGAAATGCAAAAGGTCTTTGCTGAAGAAATTGCTKCCCTGACTCGAACCTTTAACGAAGATAGAGCGAGTATAGAGAGCTATTACAAAGAACAAATCAAAGAACTACGCGACCAACACGCAAACGACCAACAAGAAATGAATCAAAAGTTTGCGYTTGAAAAATCCGAACTCCAAGAAAAGCTCGAGTCAGAATTTGAAGCGGTTTTAAGAACAGAGATCGGTGAGTCTCGGAAATTGTCCTTGCACGAAATAAACCAAAAAGAGGAGATGTACAACACGGCAAAGCTTGAAATGGAACAGAAGCACAGCAAAGAGCTTCATGAAGCCGAGATGAATACGAAGAAAGTCAAGGATGAGTTAGAGATGATGTTTTCTCAAGAAAAGGCGAGATTAGAGGAAAGAAGTAAGGATTTGGAACATCAGCTGCTGCAAGAACGAGAATTAAGGTGAGATTCACTATAATTATCGTTTATTATGTCATAAACTGTATCAAATCATGCTGCCATCATCTTATTACTGAAAAACTTTCTTATTTGCTAAATACTTTCCCAAGCGCCAACTTTCGGCAGCCTCGGTTTTGCTATAATGATGGTTATCTCAAAACCAAACGGCTTTTGTCAACATAATGACGGCTTTTTTGGAGCATCGCATTCATTTTCCCTTGCTGGAGATTTTTTTGCATTCTCATTTGCCATTCATCCAGAACATATCAAAACTTGGCTACCTTGAGACACAATGATGGCGCCGGCTTCCTTCTAACCTCTTTTTACAAGCAAGTAACTAATCCAATGGATAACGGACATCATTTTAGTGTTGACTCATGCAGAATGATCATTATTCTGTTTAGGAACAATGTATTTAGCAAGACTTTACAAATGGATCTACTAGGCTTCGGAAAAGAAACATTTTGTCAATAATTATATTGGCACCATAATATAAAACAATACTTTTCAAAAATATAAACATACTAAAATTGGACTGGTCCGATTCAGAGAAAACCTATTATAGTGAATGATTTAATGTAAAATGAGCTTGATGTGACGCTACAGGTGGTCTACTGTTAGTCACAAGAAAAATTTGAAACCTGCAACATGTCATTAAATATAGTACCTGCACGAGAAATGGCTTTCTACTTTTCGTGACAGTAATATTTTGGTAAACGTTTTCAGGGAGAGTTTTTAATTGGCATGGGAAACAGAAAATCATATTACATGTAATATATGCAAAGAAATATTTACCGTTGTTCTTAAGGGTTTTTTTTAGAAGGTTGTAATGTTGATTATGCAAACAACTGGTAGCCATTTTATGTTTGTTTGGTTAATGTTTAAAATTGATATCATTTCAGAATTCAGCTGGAATCCCTTCTGGACGAGGAAAAAGAGAATGTGAAGAACGTCGACAACGCAAAGAGGAGCGAGACAGAACAGCTGAAATGTGAACTAGAAGGRTTGCGAGTGGAGCTTGACGAGAAGAGCAGGTCAGCCATAGAAATGAGTAGAATTGAAGAAGAAATACGATCAAATGGGAAAAACGGRCTCAGCGGGAAACTACGTGAAGATGTCGACAAAATCATCGATGAACATAAGCAGGAATTCGAAAGGAAGTATTTATTGGACAAAGAAGAGCTACAAAGAGATAAGGAACGCCAGTTAGAAGAGGAGAAGAAGAAGATCAAGGATGAYGTCGAGTTTGAGAARAAGAGGATTCAAGATGACGTGGAAAATGAACGGAAGAAGATGCGAGAAGAGATTGACAGAGAACGACAAGAAATTCAAATATATCTCAAAAATGGTCGCGCGGTGGACATGAAGCAGAGCGAACAATCTTTGCATACGTTTACAGAACAATCTGAATACAGCGCAAGTGTTTCCTATAACGGCCATAGTAATCAGAACCAAACAAATACCGGTGAATTCAAGGATGAACGTCAAACTAATACCTACGGTGCCTACAGCAGCTWCAAAGGCTTACATACTGAAAGAGATCAGAAAGAACCAGATCAGCGCAAAMCCCAATACAACCCAGCCTTTGGTGATGAAAGTAGCAAGTACCCACAATCTATCAACCAAGAAGAAGTCCCAGACAAGTATGCTTCACTTGCTATTGGAAGTGAAAGATATAGCTCTGCTAACGATGGATCTTATCCAATGGAGCGCAGTGACAGAGGTGAACCATACACACACAATACTGGGATACATGTAACTCTTCAAAATCCCAATGAAAAAAGAAATGACACAGATAACCTTGATCATTTACATGACAAGCCAACATCTGAATATGGAAAAACTTACCAAGTCCAAGTAGATAGTCAAGATATGTTTTCTGCTCAACAAACTGTAGGAAGAGGATACGACAGTGGTGAACAAAACAGTTTCCCAAATGAAGACCATTGGCAGTACCAGTCCAGTTACGAATATGGAAAGCCGCACCAGCAGGTCCAGGGTCGGGAATTGACTGGCCAACAATCTGAAGRAAGAGGATTTGTAAATATTGAGACAAAAAGTTCCCAAAATGAGGGTCAGTGGCGCCATCAGTCCAAATATGACTATGGAAAGCTTCATGAACAAGGTGGTAGTCGAGATTTTCTGGAAAGTGATCAYGAAAGGGGSTATGATGGTCCAGGCCAACAGTCACWGACGAAACATGGCCATCAAAGCGACAAGTTTCATCCAATAGATGAACGAGACACCTCACGATATGAATCTAGCGGTCAACAAAAGTCCACTCAAARTGCTCTTATGCGAGATCAATATTACGTCACGCCTGGAAATGAGAACGATCTTCGAACGGAGATCAATCAGCTAAGGAGCGAAAATGAAGGTCTGAAGGCAAAGATTGAAGCTATGGAAGAGAACATTGATCTTCACAAGAAATACAAAGCCGAAGCGAAAGATGAGTTGAATAGACTTCAGAAGACAAAAGAAGAGCTGCAATCACGACTGGACAAAGGCAACAAAGACGAAGAGGATGCCAAGAGAGCCAAACTCAAGGTTGATAAACTAGAACAAAGTCTTAGGGATAGCGAAGCCCGGCGCAAAGAATTCGAGGCCAGA